GATGATTTCCGTCTGGTGGCGGGCCAGCGCCGGCGGCAGAGTGGTCCCGCAGGGGCCCGGGAAGTGAAACCTGGAAGGAAGCAGCCGGGTGAAGGGGCGGGCAAGGGCATTTATTTCTTAAGCATTAGGGAAAAAACTCGATCACGTTTGTTTAAAAATTTTCTAAGCATTTTAGCAGTTCAATGAAGATGGAGGGGACTAAAGGTTGCTAGTTTAAAACGGAGCAGCTTTACCTGAATCTGTTTGTAGCAGGAGTAGCTTCCATGTTAAATTCTGCAACCGGCACTCCTCTGGCGGATACCTGAGGGGCAAACATAGCGGCAGGATACACCACGGAGGAGGTCCCGACCTGCAGGGACAGGGCGAAAGAATCACGAGTGTAGCAGGCCAGTAGTTAAACAGACAAAACCAAACCAACCCACAAGGTAAGGACCCTTCCCACAACACCGGATCTGCAAAACCACTGAAGCATGGAAGATGCCTACAGAAAGGAAACCAAATCAATGTCTATATTTAGTGACACTGCATATGTAGCTATTTAACATGGCTTAAGAGCTAGCAATTGTTTCTCTGAGGCAACCCAGAGAAACCTGTTTGGGGCTTGTAACTAGATGAACAAAAAAATCCCAGAAACCAAACGGCAGACTTTGTTTTCAGGAAAAAAAACACAAGATGCCCCTTCTGTTACTTGAGATCATTATTTTCTGAAGGGTACACAAGATTCTGAGCAACTGTTTTGGTCAGCAGTCTGGAACCTACATGGCACATCAACAACCTCACAAAAAAAGCAGCACATGGTAACAGCTAGCTACATTCTTACACCATTCTGTAATTTTTTTTTTTAAACTGGGCATCAAAATAATCCTGGTTTTCACTGTTTGAGAAATTCAAATATTAGAGAACCTCTAACACTTGAACCTCTAACAGCTGTGTACAATGCAGACTGCAGATGCCAGCTGAGCAAGGTGCACACATGCCGAACTTGTTAACTTCTGAGGAGTATGCGTAAATTTTCAAACTTCACGGTCTTTTAATGTTTTACACTTGACACTGGAGAGTCCCTCGGGGGCTTTTAGCTGCCTCGGGGAAGTGCAGATGCATCTCCTTTACCCAGAAGGTGCAACCTCTTTAGCGCGGCGCTTCCCTGCCGGTTAAGAGGCCAGGTGACAGAAGCCTCACTCACTACCAAGCAGAGGTCGCATATCTCAAGCTCCTTCTCAACCTCCGTGAGAATGTCAGGATCCAGCGTTTCACCAAACCACACAACGTGGGGGCGGAGGAGCCCGTTGCAGCCGTCCTCCTCACACCTGTTTAAAAATCACAAAGGGACAGCATCAGGCTGCTGACGCGGACGTTTCAAGCTGCAGAACGGCAAAGCAGTTTTCATTCTCATTTGGACGTGTCTTACCTGCCCTCGCTCCTTCTCCCTCCTCCTCCACAGCCCTCCCCACACCCTCCTCTACCACGTGCTGGACGGAAGGCAGCTGAGGCCGCGCTACGCGCGCGTGGGGAGCACGCACGTGCTGCCTGGTCACACAGAACGGGTTGCTGAGCGGTTGTTCAACTCGGATACTTAATCCCCTTACTCTGCTCCTGAAATGCATGAAGCTGAGAAACATAATATGTGCTACAGACCTCGGCCTCCACCAGCTTTAACAAACTGGCCAAGAGGTTTTTAAGGAGAAAGTGAAGGGAAAGACAGAAGCATCGCCTCAGCCTCTTTTCCTTAGGAACCAGAGGAAAAATACAGCGGCTTCTTGCACCTGCAACTTGCTAAGGCAAAGCTTCCGCCATTATAAAAAGCACCGTGGCACATTTAATGTCTGCAAGGGACTATGCAGCGGCTGTAGCCCAGCACGGTATTCCAGACTGACTAACAGTAGGTAGCACCTGCAAAGTAACAACATGTTTACCGTGTAGCGCTTTTAGTTTCTTACTAAAATTCTCCTCCACTTATTACAACCCCCATGAATTTAGGCATGTTTCAGCTGGGTGCTCAAGTACGCAAGCATGCGATCCCTCTAGCAGCATGGTACTTCTAGTACACGCTCCTCTTGTCTGCTGCCCCCCGTAACTTCAGACTCAGTTCTCTGGGGCAGAGCCCCACGCCTTTTTCTCCTGTAGAATGTCTCTGTGTCCTTCCAAAATTCCATGAACAGTAATGTAAGCCTTTGAGACGCGCAAAGTATGAAGAGGCAACAGCAAAAGCCAAAGCAGTCCATACGTACTGAGGAAGGTCTTCAACTGGAATCGTGGCGTCTTCTGTTTCGGGATCTGGAGCCCTGGAATTACAAAATTGAAATACATATTCAACCGTACAAAGTGCACTTTATATATTAATAAAAACTCAGTATTCTCTAAAGCGCACTCTCCAATCAAGGAATCTTTGCAACTTCAGCCAACTTCAACCTCTACTACAACCCTGAAATACCACACACAGGGCAGGCAGGCGTTTGTCCAGAATTATCCCAGAGTTAAACAGCTGTAATAAGCTGGTCAAAGTCGGCCAAAGGCACAACACGTATTTCTGTAGCTATCTAAAGATCTGGTGAAACGCAAAGGGAAAAAACCCTAAAAATCTGTGAGCATATGCCTGTGTTGTCAACCTCCCCCCTTATTTTTAATGGTGAAAGAAAGAGAATGGCTAGAAAAAGGAGACCGAAGGCGGCTTCTGCAGCTTTTTAAGTTGCAGAAATCCTGGGAAGTGACGTTTCCCTCCTGACTGTTTCACGCATCTGCATTTTGAGACCTGTAATGATGAGAATCTTATTGATGAGCTGAAGGACAAAAGCTACTAGACGCTCAAGAGATGCAGAGGAGGACAATCCATGTATCGAGTGACGGCAGTCCAATTTAAGGAATAAGCATCCAATTTAATAAAAAAACCTGGAAGGTGAGGAGGATGGGAGTAAACACGCATTCTCAAAGAGTACAACTAGTTGATGTCCGATATGAGAGTTTCAGGCCATCTGGAATTGTTCTAATTAAAACATATAGGATGTTGTGCTAACTTAGAGGTTAACAGTTATTCATTCACAGACTTACGGTATCACGGGCTCTCACTGAAGTTACCGAACAGTATACTCACGTTTCAAAACAGTTGTGTAAAATTTAAGCATTAATACTACTAAAGGAAAATGGGGTGGTTGGCCAAAACTCCTGGACGCTCCTAAAATGGCTCCTTTTCTATTGAAAGTAGGGAATACAGAGAGTTTACGAGGCAGATGTATTACCCTTTCCCGGCCAATGCGGGGCATATTGGACTCTTGTAATTCGCCGCCACGTTTCCACAGTTGGTGCATCGAGTTTTAAATAAACTACCTGAAAACACACAAAGAGAAAACATCAGGGATCAAGCGATAGCTCTGAGGCACGGCTGCACAAAAAAAAGGTTGCGTTCATCCCAGACGGCCTTTATTTGACTTTGAAGACTACACCTTGTGAGTAACTTACTACACGAACGTAACGGCCAAGTGTTGAAACCCGGCAGCATTGTGAACGAGATGCTATTTACAACAGCACGTACACACGCTTTTGTTCAGCGACCCAAGGTGACCAGCGTCATAGTTAAGCACAGACTGGGCCCAGCAAAGGCAGACGCAGCCCTTTCAGCCGAAAGGCCGCCGTGAACAACAGCGACAGTCCCTCTGAGCGGTGATTTGTCACCTTGTTCTACCTCACCACATGAGTAATACACAGCCTCGTAGTAGTATTTCAGAGGAAAATCATTATTTAAACTATCACTGAGGGAGATGACTCCTGCTTGTTACTTCTCCCCTTCAATCAGAAACATTTCTTTTCTCCCAGTACTTATCCTGCTCTCTCTTCTCCCCCGCAGGTTCGCTGGCCTGTAGCAGACAGGTAAGCTGATTCTTACCGTGAATTTCTAAGAGGTGCTTTGTGCCTGCCTTTCTGTGTAGTTCATCAATGTTCTGAGTGATGACCACAACGCTCCTTCCTTGCTTGCTCAGTCGCCTTTCGCACTCCGCAATGGCGATATGTGCAGGGTTTGGATGTTTACTCAACATCACTTCCCGGCGGTAATGGTAAAATTCCCATACGCGAGAAGGGTTTCGCGCAAAAGCCTCTGGCGTAGCCAGCTCCTGGAAAAGACGTAACGATTCATTCTACCAATGAAAGGGCAAGAAAATCCCCTCCCCAGATGAAGCCTCCTAGCACACTGCCATTTCCACTGCTACCAGCGTAACGCGATAATAAAAAGCAGATTATTTATAACCAGATGCAGTTTGGCAAGAATATAGGTCAATAGCCCTTATGAGGATGACACGTCAAAGTATCTTGTTAAATGAGGAAATAACTGATATCCATAGCGCGGTACATGGTTTTACATAGTGCGCTCAGACCTTATTCTATGCTGCCTTACCGAACTATTGGGAGTTTAGCACAGCATAAAGGAAGATGAGCTATTTCAATGCACACGGTTTTTGGCATTCAAAACTCTCTTTTCCGCAGCAGCCATAAAACTCAGCATCGTGTGGATCTACTTCCTTTGCTAGCAATTTCTTTTCTGCTGTAAGTGTAACACAAGCCAAGTTACAGCCATTGTCGAAACCAAAGTCTAATGCCTTGTCTTTTATGTACTGGTAAAATCTAAGCTCTGCTTTTCACACTAACTTCAATTTTGCCTTATCTTTTTTTTTGTAAAACGAGGAGTAGCTCAGTCTAATGCTTGAATGCACAATTCTACTGGTATAAAAACGCTGAATGCAAGCTTTCTGATGCAGAAGGACCAGGCATTTATACACACGCATGCGTTATTTGAATCGATAGTCACTGAAAGGAAAAAATGCATCTTTAGATTCAAACCATCTTGAAAAACTCATCTCTCTGAGCCCTTTTTAACTTCATCACATCTTTCACGAATGCTGTCATTAAAAACCATAAAGAAAGCAAACGTGATTGCAGCGTTTGGGGTGGCAGTTACTGACAGCATAACGGCTGCTTGAAACATCCGCAGCACCACGCAGGATCAGACGCGCGAGGCACCTATACACCTCGCACGTTTGGGTGGGGGCCGCTGCGCCACTCCACCCCGCAGTGGCTGCTTCCACCTCCTCTCCCACCCCAGCGGCTCCCAACGCTGGCAAGATCACACCGGCGAGAGAGACAGAGCTTGTGGGAGAGTGAAAGACTGTGGGGAACCCTGCCCCCAAACAAAAAAAAAATCCTAAAACATTTTTAAAGAGTGTTATGAGAAACCAAGATTAAAAGAAAACAACTTGTTGGTATCACTGATTCTGTCCTTTGTTATTTTGGTAAAAGGTTCTTAAGAGAGTTTAAAACGGGAAAGGCCCCACGAGGTAGGAAAACAGTGAGGGTGTCAAAAGAGGAGCAAAGAGCTGAGCTGCAAGGCAGCAAGAAAACAAGGACGGTAGGAAGACCCAGAGCTGTCTGCAAAAACATCGTTTTTTCCCAAACAACCGATAAACCAAACAACAGAAAAGAATTTGCAGCTGCACAGAGCACCCCCCAGGGCACGAGGGAGAGCTGCAGACACGGCTGTCGGCAGAGCCCCGGCCCCCCCACCGTACCGCCACGGGAGCGCGTCCACCCTGCGGTACCCAGCTGCTTCTGACTCTGCACGCTCACCTGCCCGGCGGACTGAGCAGCACCGGTGCCGCCAGCACGTACCTGGGCTTGCCACTTCCTCCAGAAACCTCCGGCCCCTCGGAAGGTAGGAACTCCGCTCTCCGCGCTAACACCGGCTCCTGTGATGATGGCTATATGCTTCGCTTTGGCAAACACTTCTCGGAAGTCAGCCATGCCTACGCGCAGGAAGGAAAAACAAACGGCTGTTCGAACACTTATACTTTTACAGAAGAGGCCATACAGACAGCGCTGGCAAACAATCCAGCAACGGCTTCCACACGCACCTCCCGTGACTTCAGCTTCAGAACACTAACTTGTTTCTGAGTTTCTGTATACTGGAATTTGAAGGCCAATTCCTGGAGATCCTCAGAAAAGCATATGAGCGAGCCCAGTGGGGCAACATGGATTAAACTATGAATATACTCAATATTTGAAAGACAGAGCCTTAAACTAAAACCCCACACTAGATGCTACCATGATAACAGCTGCTGCCACCAGCACCGCCCAGGAACAGTTTGCTTCCTAATTGTAAGGCAAGATCCTGAGATGGAAAAAAAAATTACATTTAGGTACATAGTATCACCTTCAAAATTAAGGTAATTTGGGAAAATGCATTTCCTTCTGAGGCGTCTTGCCCATTTTCCAGGTTTGCAACTGTATGTTCTGGTTTTGAATGTATATTCCCTCCATTTTTCCCTGCATGGTAAAGTAACTTGGGACAAAGATTGGAAATTTCCTTTGCATTTTTCTAAAAACAAGATTAAAAAGGAACAGGTTAGCTACAGAGAGACAAAAAAAAAAGATCTCTTCCAGTTTACCTCAGATATTAATTTTAAAGCAACATATTTTAGAATCACAGAATGGCTGAGGCGGGAAGGGACCTCTGGAGATCGTCTAGTCCAACCCCCCGCTCAGGCAGGGTCAGCCAGCGCAGACTGTCCAGGACTGTGTCCAGTCAGGTGGCTTCTGAGTATCTCCAAGGATGGAGGCCCC